TCCTAGACCAGCAAGCTAGCAATGCTAGCATGTGCTATATGCTGTGAACATGGGGATATTCATGGTTGTGCCTCTGAAGATTTCGGAATAACATGGAAGAAGGCAAAGATGAGATTCTTTGGATATGTGCTACGTGCCAGCCCAGCAGACCCAATGAACCAGGTATCTTTTCATGTTGACAACCTGCGCCCCAGACCTGTTCGTTCTAGGCGCTCAGGACGGCCGAAGTTAGACTGGACCCTGGATTCTTGCAGAGACGCGTTTGAAATCATGAATGGGCCGGGGGGTCGTGTTTCATGCGACCAGTATAGAACATTTGCAACAAGCCAAAGATCAAGCGATTTCGAGAGAACCACCTTTCAATTGAAGGCGCGCACCGCTTGGGCCTCTCGAGGTAAAGCACGTGGATACACGGTGCTCGGTGTTTTTTGTAGTTGCTTTGCCTCGTCTCACGCAGTATGCTATATTCTTTGCATATTGTACACTATTGTTCGTCGGGAGCTCAGTTGTCCTCATTGGAAAAATGGTAGCTTTCACAGCGATTCGCAGCATTGTTGTCACAACCTTGGAAGATAAGTCTAACTTGTCCTGTCGACGGTACTTTGGCCATGATAAAGTCTTTGCCCAAGCCATTGCATGCATCAGACCAGAAGAGCCATGCGCATGGCAGAAAAGCATCCTGCACTGCAGGCACCATTAGGGAGGATGCGAGCAAGCTCGCCCAGCGTGCAGAGCGATTCGGCCCAACAGGCCTCTGATGATGACTTTGGCCTCACATAAGTTGCTGGCTCCGCCACTACTGGCGGCTTTTCTGTAGATTATGCTTTAATTCACAGCTCGTGTTTGTCAGAGTCAGCATTTTTCCGTGGATCAGTTAAATTTGGATTCCAAGTCCTTTTCCGGTTCTGTGCTTATCTCGAATTCCAAGCCCGTATTCCTGCCGAGACTAGCTCCAAGTCGAGCCTGCCGCGTGTCAGCGGGTAGACGCAACTACATTGCTAGGTACTTGTCATACTTGTGCTACGGGAGGCGACGCCTTAGCTGGGGGCAACGCGCTCACAAGTCTGGTGGGTGCTGGGCCCGGCCGTGAAACATGCCGCCGCATTGGTCATTGATTTTGTCCACGGCTGCCTGAGCTTGCCTCGACTTGGAAGGGGTGCTGCAGCATGCCAGAGCAAAAACTCAGAACGAACTTTATTTCCAGGATAGGCGACTGAATTCTGCGTTGAGCTAATTTGTTGTGGGTTGTTTCCACGCAAAAGCGCTGGGCCTCCCCCCAACAGAAATACCGACCCAACCAGCAGTTCTAGCGGCAGCGCAGCAGTTCGAGCCCTTCAACTCTGTTTGATGGTCAGCTCCGCGAAGCTTTGGCTTCTGCTTTGATGCAAGCTTTCCTTGAGCTTCAACGCCTTTCAGAAGCTCTTAGGGTTGCCTTGGCTTGATTCGGGTCCTCAGGAGTTGGTCATCAAAGCAGAACATAAATGCAATGCTGCTCAAGTGAACCCGGGGACCTGGCAGACTATGCGTAGAAACTTTCTTGGGCAAGTCTGGTATAGGTGTGGATATTGCTTGATTTGGTTCTGGATTTCAAGAGCTTGTGGTATCAGCTATGGTTCTAGGGCTTCATGAACATCAAGCACATGAAGAGGAACTCTCAGAGAAGAAAAAGCGTAGACAACACCTTCACGCTTCTCACCGCGAGCTCTTATTGAAAGCAAAACTCAAGTTAGGCGAGCTCAGCAAGGCCTTTTGCAAAAGGCAATTTAATTATTGCGCCCAAGAGGAATTTTGCGGCGCAATGGCCCAATTTTTTTTTTGCCTTTGGAGCGCCATCATGATGATGGGGATTCCTGACATGTATGAAGGCGTGCGTTCCATCATGTTGTGCAAATTGTATCGGCCTTGCATTCAGTGATTTTGCTCTTGGCTCATGTTTGTTGAACCTGAGCTGGGGTGCTTATCAAGGTTATTCTGTTCTGCGTGCCATGTCTAGTCTTGATCATCGCCATGGCCTAGGTGTTTGGAGGGACGAGCAGGGCTCTCGCTACGAGCTTGAGGTGCAGAGCTCTTCAGGCCCAGCGGCACAGAACTGGACTTTTTACCAGACTCGGGCGGGATCCTTGGCATGCTGTCCGGAAATGTAGGTTCCTTCGCTGCGGAAAGCGAAGATTTTTGGGCCAGGGAGTATTGGCGTCCGTGCGAGGGGGTTGGCTATAAGTAGGAATTCTGATTGGGAGAATCTCCAAGCGCTTCATGACCAAGGCCAAAGCAAATTTGGTTGTAATTTTACCTGTGAACTGCTGAAGCCAGGTAGGAGCTTGAATGTCACGACCTACAGGCGTGGAGGGTTTACTTGCAAGACATGCTGCGGTAAGAATTCCAACTCCCTGGCTCCTGTGTCCAGGCCAAATGGCGTCGTCAAGTGCACACCAGGGCTCATTCGTGACTTGGTGGACATCTGTGGGGAGAGACCAGCAAAGCGTGTCATTGTTTAATTTGCTCAGATGAGTCATGACAAGCTTGGTCTGCAGCCTTCAAGGTCTGGAGACCGGACGTGACAACTCCGAAAGCGTGGTTTGGGGCTCAAGCACCTTGGCTGACAAAGTTGTCCCATCAACAGAATGCTTGATCCGGCGAATTCATCGGCATGAGGAGGCCCGGAAAATATGCATGAGGCCTGACCTAAGAAGACCTCAACAGTTCAAGCCAACAAGTCAGAGCGTTCTGTTGGTCATATCTGTGAGTGCCTAATACATCAGGGAAACCACCCTGCGCTTTTTTCAAGGTTGAAGAGCTCAGCACATAGGGCCGTTGTCAGCCAGTCTCAACTTCTAAGATTATAAGGACTCCTTAGGCTTAGGGGCAAATTGGAGCTCAAGCTCCATGACTTTGTCGAAGGTTTCAGGCTTCAGCTGGGACCTGGAGAGCAAACTTCTGCACCGGATTCTGTGCAGTGGTTGGCGAAGGAGAGTCATGTCCGGTTGAAAATTCTTGCTGAAGCCCGGGCGCATGGATTCCCCTCCAGGATGGTCGGAAGCGACCTTTCTCCTGGGCCAGGATAACTCCTTACAAGCCACCCGAAAGAAAGGCGCAGGACCACCACAGCAGGGCATATATTCTATAGGGATTCACTAGGGGTTATATTCCCCTATTCCCTTCTAATCCCAGGAACTTGCCATCCATTTGGGTGCAGCTTCTTTGTGGCTAACCGCTGCCAGGAGTGCAAAGCCTCAACACAGGCCGTGCTTCGGACCAAGTCCAAGGCCACCCGTCAGCAACTTCCATGCAGCGCCGCCGGCTCTAAGACTCTAAGTGCTCAGACACCAAGCTGAGGCCCAGCCACCAAAATCTCAGGAGCCAAAGGCCTTGGCTCTTCAAAGTTGCTCAAAGGGCAAAAGCTGCACGCGATGTGCCATGTGCCAGGCCGCAGCCTCCGCCGCCTCAAGTGATGTGCCGGGTAACAAGGCCACTTCCACATGACGTGTCCGCATCGGAGCTCCTTCGTTTGCCTGCACCGACCGAAGAGGCAGCGAGCTCCGAGCAAGCGACCGCATCTTCGCAGGAACCTGCCAAGGACATCGAATGCTTCAGCTGCTTGATCAGTGTATTGTTGGAAGTACCAGTTCTGCCTTCGGAAAGCACCCCTTCTGCAGGCAGCAGAGGGTCTCAACAAGGGGTCAGCTGCTGCCCAGGCTTGTGGAATCACGGTGTCGGCAGTTGACTGACCCAATCTAACCCCTTTCGCTGTCTGGACGAGTGTAGAGCCATTCCGATTAGGGTTTGCAGGCTTATTTGGCCATCATGGTAGGGCTGTAACGTTTTCATGCCTCGCCCGTCTTCGTTTGTGGTTGCTGTCGTTGCTGCCCTTGATGCTCACGCTTACCGCCTGAGCTAGGACGCAGAAGCGTTTCCATTTTTTTGCCTATGCCAGGTGAAGGCAGAGCCAGCAGCTTCAGACGAGCCTCCCGCGAAGAAGGCACCCTTTGCCCCCATTCTGGGAAAAATACCTCGGGCACTTCCAGCTGCCAGGCAAAGGCTTCTCCACTTGTTCCCTGCAAGACGGAGGCGGAAGCAGTCCCTTTCTCAGCTGAAGAGTGCTTGTGGTCGCTACTTGCCTGCTCATAGACTCACGCCAGTACTCAACCAGTTCTTCGTATGATGCAGGTTCAAAGTTCAAAGTAGTCCAAGGCTCTTCCTTGGAGAATGCATCCTCCACCCCCAACCCCTCGGCGCAAACAATAGATACTACCTGTGCCGAAAAGTGGATATACAATCAGGGTAGATTGTTGATTGAAAGACTCATATGGGTAGCAAAATATTTTCCATTGTAGTTGTAGTAAGTAATTACTGTGTAGGACTTCAGCTCACCAGCCGAGACTTACTGAGATAAGCGACGCCCAGGATGCCTCTGAAGCAGATTCGGCACAGAAGCTGGACAAGGCTGTAAGAATGCACTTTGTTTTCATCATGTGACTTCCTGTCCGCCAGCTTTGGGTGGGGCGCAGTTTGACAGCATTGTGAGTTTTTTTGGGCTTGGACTCGCCGGAAGCCTTTGGCTTCAGCTTTTCAAGTCTTGCCCGTGCAGCCGAAGGCTTGCAGGCTTAATTTGCATTGCACGGTTTTTTGAGTAGTCCAAAAGCCTTATTCGCATTTTTGAGCACTCCATGGAGCAATGGCGATGTCTCTTACAAGAGTTGACGCAAGTGCTCGAGAGTGAGTTCGCGAAGATGCAAAAGTTAGAACAGCTTGCGCATGGCCAGGCTGTGAAGGTACTCACGGATGCCGGAAGTCCACCCAAACCTATGTTAGCTTCAAAGCCCTGGGCCCCTACTTCGGACACTCCGATGATGCACGCTGAGCTCAGCATGGACACCTCAATGATGCTTCAGAAGGCCGTCCCCTTACTGCCGCCAGTGGCAGCAGACCCAGATCGCTTGGACAACAATGCAGTAGAAACAATCACACGGTCTATAAAGACCTTTGCCGCTGAGAAGACACAGATGAGGAGCGCTTCAGGCCTCAACGATGCCCAGACTCACTTTCGAGTTGTGCGTGCAACCAAGACGAGCCACGTGTTACAGCAGAAGCCGTGGTATGTTATCAATCCTGATCAGAGCAAGGCTGCAAGCCGGTGGCAGATATTGGTCGCATTTTGTTTGCTGTTTGTGGCCCTGGCAACACCTGTACAGGTGGCTCTTTTGGAGCCAGAGGTGGACTGGCTTTTCTTTGTTGGTTTGGGTGTGGATGTTGTCTTCATGATCGACCTGATTTTGCAGTTTTTCATGGCCTACCCAGTAACGACAGCACAGGGGATCACCTGGGAAGTTCGGTCTGCAAAGATTCGTGAGAGGTACTTGAAGTCTTGGTTTCCTCTCGACATTCTAAGCATCATGCCCTTCGACGTGTTGACGGTTGCGTTGGAGGCCCAGGAGCTGCGAGAGCTTGCAGTCCTCAAGGTAATTCGTGCTCTGCGTCTGGTGAAGCTGCTTGTCTTTAGATCTAGAACTTACAGGGTTTTTAATGCTGGCGCTATATCTTTGACACACAGCTCAGGCTCCTTCGACTTATGAAGACCTCTCGATCCCTCCAAGCGATGGAGGTGCCACTTTCGATTCCTTATCAGCAGTTTGCATTGATCCGCTTTGTGCTGATTTTGGGCTTCGTTTGTCATGGACTGGCTTGTGGCTTGTCCGCATGAGTGGCATCTATTTCATGAGCCGCATGTTTCGCATGTGTATTCTTTGACAAGCTTGGACTCTGAAGATCTTAGCCCCCTTGAGCACCGAAAAGCAGCGTTTAGAGTCTAGAGTGGACTTTTTGGAATACTGCCAAGGCTTATGGGCTCTGACGTTGACTCTCGAAGACTCAAACTCACCTCGCTGGATAGATCTGCTTGCGCACGATGAGCCCTCGTCAGTCCAGATCTATTTGGCTGCTTTTTATTTTTGTACCGTGAATCTGCACTGGGGAACTGTTTTTGGATTGCGTGTGCCCTAGACTCAAAGAACTGTGCAACTGCTAAAGTTCCGCTAAAGCAGATTGAGTTTTGGATGCCAGGCAGTTATACAATCACCTCGGTTGGCTACGGTGACATCAGTCCCCAAAACAATGTGGAGCGAGTATTCTGCATTGGGATTCTGCTTTTTTCCGGACTTGCCTGGGCTTACATCATCGGAGAGGTGGGGGCCATTGTGACCGACATGACCTCTGAAGGGCAAGACTTCAGGCGAACGATGCACCACTTGAATCAGATGATGAAACGACAAGGGCTTGCCCACGACCTGCAGTGCCGGCTCCGCAGATACTTCCTGCAGAACAGGCATCAGATGGTGACACTGGAGCGTCAGGCTCTGATGACGAAAATGAGTCCACAGCTACAGTCCGCTTTCTGTATTGCGGTAAACTACCGCTGGCTCCAAAAGGTCACCTTCTTGAGGAAGTTCTTTTTTTACATCCGCCAGCAGGCGCAGAGTGGCTCCTACGTGGCGCCTTACGAGGCTTGTATGGCTGATATTGCGAAATGCCTGAAGCTTGGAGCTTTTGCGCAGCAGGAAACTTTTGACAATGTCCAGGCCTCTAGGGGCAGTTGAGGGGCTTCAGTGAAGCTTTAACCTACTTAGCCTGAACCCTTAAACCCGAAACCCTGACAGGTGCTCTACATTCTGTCGAAGGGCTTAGTAGTCCTGAACAGCAAGCTTCGCTCCGAAGGAGAGGTTTGGGGAGAGGACTTTGTGCTGGAGGACACCACATTGATTCGCCCAGTGGCAGGCTACGCAATGACCTACATTGAGGTGTTGTCGTTGACTAGGGAGGATTTCATGGGCGTCATTGAGAGGCGGAGGTTCTCATGCCCGCAACTGCAGCGAATGGTTCGCCGCTACTGCGTTCGAATTGCTGTCTATCGAGGCATCCTCGCCGAGGCACAGAGGCTCAAACAAATCCAAATCAAACTGGAATCAGATCGTTTGGCTCAGGAAGAGTCAAAGGATGGCCTGCGGAACTTGGCTAGTAAAATGTCTCCTGAGGAGACCTTTTCACTAATGAAAATGGCGCTGCCTGGGTCCATTGACTGATTCCCCAGCTCACAATATTCTGAATCCGCAAAACACGCAGAGGTGCCAGAAGCAACCTGGGCTAAGCCCACATGCATTTTCACCGAGCAGATGAATGGCGACTTATACTTGTTCTGCATTCCTCAGAACAGACGGATCGCTGCTAGTGTTGCGTTCTGCAACATCTGTTTTTACATACTAGTGCTCGCGGCTGTCCCTGCAGTTTAGAACTTATGCCATGCACTGGCTGAGCATGAAAAATGTGCAAGACTAGACCGGGCCCGGCCAGTCGACATCCTTTGGCTGTCGCCACTAGCTGCATGCACTCAACGTTGGCCACATTTGTGCCTAAGTCTACACCCAGGCAATGGCAGAAGCAGTGCAACCAGAATCCGGCAAGCAAGATGTTGAGCGCCTTGGATAATATTATTCAAATGTACAGGAATTGCACAGGATGCGGGTCAAGCCAGAAGTGAAGGTTGCGAGACCAGCACCCTGTAAAGCATAAGGCTGGCTGCCTTCAAGGTAGGAGGTTGTAAGTTGACTAAGAAGCCCATTCCGGTAATGGCACGTTGGACCGCATGATTCATTTTTGCGGAGCAGGTGTGTATGTGGCTCTTCTTAGCGCAGCAAGCAACTTTTCATAGCTTTTGGGTCAGATGATTGATCCTACCACGTAGCCTCGCGTGATTCCTGGAGAAGATTGTAGAGCTGCTTGTCAACTCTCAGCGGCTTTTTGCTGCGTCTTTTGTTGCATGCATGCATGAGGGCAGCGGTTCAGTCCAGGGATGTACCTCTCATTCTCTGTACTTTGGTCTGTTTGATCTATCGATCTCTGCTGTGACCTGTGCCCTAGACAGTAAAGGTGTAGCATGGCTAAGCGTTTCAAAGCATGTCCCCAGAGATCTCCCACGCAAGTTTTCAATTCAGTGGACGGTGGACCTGGGTACAGGCGGATCTTCCCAAGCAGTCAAAGAACAGAAGAACAACATTCCGTTGCACGTGCAACGCGGGCATTGCATGGCTTTCATTTCATTTGCTTCCTCCTAGCGTGACGTAAGAAAGGATTCGAGTCAAGCAAGAAGGAGGCAAGGATTCTGCGAGCAGTTGGATCCCATGCTCCCGTGTTTTCCATACAGGCTAGCAGCATATGCTCACAGAAGTGCCGCCCTTCTTGGCTGCAGGACAAGAACAAGCAGAAGGGCAGCACTGGCAGCACCAGACCGAGCAGGAAAAGGACTGGCTGCATCCCAAAGCCGTTAGCAACGCCTGCAGTTGTTGCTGGACTTGCTGCTTCAAACAAACTTAAGCAGACGTCTGCAAAAACATGACGCAGGAAGCCCGGGCCAAGGAGGCAGAGGAACAGAAGGCCAAGCGTAAGCAAGAAAAGTCCGTGGCAGAAAAATTCGCCACGCACAAGGCGCGAGAGACAGCAGCTTTGCGCTTGGGCATGGAACGAATTTGACGTGTATTAAGCGCAGCGTTGAGGCATGTTGGAGTCATCGCACCATTGCTTCGCCCAAATCTGGTTCGACACCAGCAGTCCTGACACTGCCTTCAGGCTGCTGCCTGGCGCGCGTTGCCGCTCAGTTCAAGAGTTGCTCAAGAGTGGTGCTGCTGCTGAGTGTTGGAATTACATGTTGCATCAGCTCAGCTGACAGGGATGGGCCCTGTTGCCTGCGATTCTTGTAACACTTCAGAACCATGTCCATTCCATGATTGACCAGAAGCTTTCGGTGTGTAAATTGTTGGGTTTTTCTGAGGCACCTCAAGTTTGAGAAGGCCCAGGCTGCGCTTGAGAAGAGCCTTGGGCTTTCAGTATGCTGGAGTTTGCGAGGCAAATGTTGTATGAGTTGTCGGGCCGTTCGTTTAAAGACAGATGGGTCGTCTGCCCATGCCCCTAGTCAAAAGCAAGCCTAGGATTGACTTCGAGATCCGTGCTGCAGAACGAAATTTGCGACAGAAGGCTCGTTGTTTGCATAGAACGCCTGACGTGGAGCGAAGCAATTGGAAAGTCAAGTCCGCCGTGCACCGCCAGGGTGAGGATGAAGATGCCGCCAAGAAAGATGTGAAGAATCTCAAAGAGGGCAGGGAGATGCAGGAGGAAAGCGTGGCAGCAACTATCACACCGCACCCAAGTTGGTAGCGACAGAATTTAGAGGCATGCGACATAGGTTTGGCTATGCCAGGCAGAGGCTGAGCTAAAAGCTCTGGAGAAGAAGGCAGGACTTCAGCGACAAAGCGGGGTTTCCCCGCGTTTGCCACGTCCTACTTGAACCATCATGCTCAGCTCATGAAGCATCGGGGCTGTCTGAGCAGGGTGCTAGAATATGAGTTTAGTTCTTGGCTACAAGTATCACCGTGGTCGTTGGGGCTCGGGAAGCCCAGAGGTGTTGTCTCAACTTTCAGTAGAGGCCTCCGAAGCACGCATTGCAGAGCTGGACGCAAACGAGCGGCTGTCAGTAGAGGCATGGCTGGCTCCGTGGCCTGGAGTCACGGTAATTAGCTCGGACGTGTGCGCGTTTGCACAGGAGAAAGCCACGCAAATTCTATCAACTGAGAAGGTGCCTTGGATGTGTTGGAGCTGTGCCATAGTTTCGTCTCGTTTGGGTAAGAGCTGCCACGCTCATTGATGGTAACAGCCAGAATCTTTTGATTGAGGCTTCAGCCGAAAAAACAGTCGCCTCCATGAGCCAGGCTGAGAAGCAGGCTTTGGAGAAGGCCATTGTGCCAATACCAGCTTTGACCATAAGAAGGGCAAGGTGTCAGTTAACTTGCAGATCAGACATTTACAAATCTGCTAGCTTGGCGCGACTGAATGTAAGCGCACTTAGACCAGAAGCTGGAAGGCGAAGGCCGCCAAGTCCAAGATCGAAGTCTCCACACTGGAGCAAGAGGTCATAGACGATCAAATCACAAGTTCCATTAGACCGGCAGCTGTTGTTCTTCTGAGAGGCCTTGCGCAAAATAATCGAGGAGAAGGACAAAGCAGAAAGCGCTGCGTACAAGGACGCTTGTCCTCCTTCAAGCCCCCTTGCTGTCTCACCTGATTTCAAGCTGGTGCTTGAAGCTTCCCTCTCAGTTGCATTCGCTATTCTTGGTGCGATGCCTCTGCCTTGTGGTCAAGATGATTTTGTTGCTTCGGGTGTCTTGGCGAGGATCTTGAAGGAGTTGTTTGTTTGGCCAATTCTGCACAGCAGGAGTGCGCCGTGGAGATGGCAAAGGCAGCCCGAAGCGTGACATGGTGGTGAATGGGATGCTGGCTTTTAATGACATTGAGATGGAATGTTGCCACAGCATTGATCTGCATCTGCAGGCCTTGGAGTATAGTAAAGAACGAGAGAAAGCGCAGACGCTTGACAGCAACATGTGGGGCTAGGAAAATGGATGATTGATCGAAATTGCTTTAGTTAATCCAGAAGGGTGGAAATTTGGGCCTGAGGGCGTCTATCCCTCAATCATATTCAATCCAAATGTCCAAGCTTCTTCTATGGCTTGGTCAAGTCTGCAGCTTAAACTTGGCAGGCAGACAATTGAAGCCAAAACTGCTGAAGAGCAGGCCCTGCTGCAGCCATTGCAATCCATTGCAATCCATTGCATGTGGCCACATGTGGTTCGGGTTCGGCGTGTTGCTGTTGATTTTCCATGGTCTGCCACTGTTCTGGGAGCATGGTAAGCTTTGATGAGGCAATCACGAGCGAAATTGCAAAGCTCCAGCAGAAATTAGTGTCTTGACTGCGATGTACTGCTACTCAGGGAGTCCTCCGGCTTGCTTGCAGGAGGTTGCCGGGTTTCTTCTGGGCAGCCCTGCCTTGACAAAGGAAGACGTCCGGAAAGAGAAAGAGACTGCTCAGATATTGGCCACATTGAAGGACTGGCCGGCCAAAAAAAGTTAGGAGCGTCTGTTCCAGGCGAGGATCATTGTCAGGAACAGGAAAGCGAACAGAGACGTAGACCAACAAGTTCCACGTGAACAGTTCTCTAAATCAATCAGCGTGACATGCATGGCAGCAAAGCATTTTGAGCGGTGGGGCGACTCAGCCTAGCTATGCCCTTGTGTGGGCCTGCTTGGAGGCTGTAGCTACATGCGTATAGACACATGTTCTGAGGCCAGTGCCAAAGCGTTTACTCGCCTTAGGAGTACTCCCGATTGACCTCATATTCATATTGCCATTACAAGATCAACGCGAAACGAAGCCAAAAGAACAGACACATCTTTTGGAGATCGCTGTCGTTGGAAACGTGTTCAAAAACGACAAGACTTCACGTTTGATTTTGGTGTTTTTTTTTAGGACGTCCTGCTTTGTTGGGAATCTGGAATCTCGAAATGTCCTGAAGACCGGAATTGCCGAATCCAGGACCGTTAGATCCAATAAATTGGCCCTCCAGTGCTTTGAGACGTGAAGACAGGAATGCGGCTTTAGGATTTCTCTTTGCCACATTATATTTCCAGAGCTTAAGATTCGAGCTCGCTTGCTTCAGTCAATCATTAGTCATTAGTTCACTCAATAATCAAAGTTATTAAGGCCACACTATTCATGAGTGGAGCTCTCTTTGGCTACTTTTAAAAGTTCGAGGTGTTCCCTCATTTCTCATTCAGAAGACGCGCTCTTTCAATTTCAATAGTACAAAGTCGAAGAAATGCTTGTTTAGAATCAGCAGCTACAGGAGTTCGCTTTTCCTAGCCGCAGCCCTCTTGAAGAATTTGTGCTAGCAGTTCGAGGAGCCAGCTGAATATTGAGGAGCTCTCATATTACGCAGACTTGTTGATTTGAAGGACGTAGTTTCTCTAGTCTCCTGAATCTGCACGTTGGGAAGCAGGTAGAACATCAATGCAGAGATGTGCAAGCTCGCAAGACTGTCTTTCTCAAGTGTGTGCTAGTTTGACTTTCACATAGATTATGGTCTTGAAAATGTGCTTCTCAGTATATATAGTAGTATCATGCATCGGCATGCGTAGACAGGAAGGGGGGGTCTTTGCAGCTAAGTACAGGGATGTTACCTTGTGCTTCTCGTGCAGG